ATTCAATCGCTTGCTTGTGATCACGCTAGACTTGGTTTAGATGTTTAGTCTACTAGAGATTCACTCATTGAAAAATTTCTTAACCATTTTCCTCGAGGAATTGATACGCGGTGCTCTGAATCTGCATTATTAATTGACATGTATACTTACGTGATATGACCGAATTGCTTCACTGCAACCTTTCAAGCAGACATGTGTCATCAAATCTATTTTTATATTAATGCTCGAATCACTATGATATATTCTTTCAGAATAACTATTTTTAATATTTTCTTTCTACTCTAGTTGATTTGAACTTGACAAAATGATCCTAAATTTCACACTTGGGTCTTCGTGCATTTCTTTTTTTCTTTGTAGTTGGTGGCTTGACACTATTTGAAGTGTTGATATCACCTACAACATTGACTTAATACGTGGAGCAGGCATTTTGTTATTAACTAATGTTAAAACTTTCATCGTGATGTGATATCTTCATTCATCAAGATAAAAAATAAAGCAAATCAATTAGGATTAGTACATATAATGATGAACATAATGCATAAAAAATAATAAATTATTTAAATGTAAATAAATTATGGAAATTGGTGTGACCATACCAGCATCAATGCATCGGATCCCATCAAAACTCCGCAGATAAGCCTGCTTGGGCGAGAGTAGTACTAGGAGGGCGACCTCATGAAAAGTCTTCATGTTGCACCTCTTCCATTTCCAATATATATTTAAGATTACTATTGTCGCGTCCCAAGACCCAGATGTGAAAAGTAGAGGATTGCATTAGATAGTCAACAGCCAGTGTAAAATTTATCGAAAAATCATGACATGAATCCTTTTTTATCATTGTGTAAATGTTAGGGTGTCCCCTGGAAGCGAAGCACTGTATGGCCTAAATACAATGAAATGTGTGCAAGGGTCTCTATATCGGCGTCAGAGTGTAAGGTCAAATAAGCAAGAATTCTCACATTACGGACAGATGCAAGTAAAGAACTTAATCCATGAAATTAATATTAAGATAGAATCTTGGAATAAAAGTACTCTTACTAGTAAATTAATGAAATTAGATGATATTCTGATTCATAGAAAGATAAATATCTTATGTATTTAAAAAACTAAATGGGTTGGAAAAAATGCTAAGAAGATTGATAACTTAGGTTTTAAACTTTGGTACTCAAGTAAAAGATGCACTAGAAATGGTGTAGGTGTAATTATGGATAAGAGTTTGAAAGATAATGTTATAAAACTTAATAGAATTTGACATAAAATTATAACCTTTAAAATTATTGTTGATACTAAGATTTTTAATATTATAAGTGCATATATTCCTCAATGAGGTTTAAATATATAGAATGACTTAAAAGACTTAAATTAAATGATACCACTTGGAGAAAGAATTTTTATTGGAGGTGATTTAAATGGACATGTCGATAGAGTGGTAAAAGATTTTAGAAACATTCATAATTGCTACAGTTTTGGAGTAATTAATGAAGAAGATAAGAGACACATTAGATTTTGCTTTAACGTATGATTTTGTTATTGTTAATATTATATTTAAGAAAAGAAATGAGCATATTATTACTTATAAGAATAGATCTAATAAAGCACAAATTGATTATTTTCTTATGAGAAGAAGATATCTTTGAGAATGTAAAGATTGTGAGGTCATTCCAAGCGAAGATTGAAGTACTTAACATCAATTATTAGTTCTAGATTTTTAGATGAAGATTTGTAAAAAAAGAATACTATAAATCATCGTCGTAGAATTAGATGGGGTGCCTAAATGATACAAATAAAATTATTTTAATGAGTAAATTTAAGATTTCAAGATTTGGGATGTTCATGAAGAAGCCAATTCAATGTGGGATAAAGTAACAAACATTGTTAAACAAATGGCAAAAGATGTACTTGAAAAATAAATAAAAAAAAAGATTTCTATAAATAAAAATAATTTGTGGTGGAAAAATAATGTGCAAGAAAATAATAAAATATAAGAATTTGTGTCATAAAAATTGGTTTAAATGTAAAAGCTTAGATAACTGAGAAAAATATCAAATAACCCGTAGGGTGTCTAAGAAAACAATATGTGAAGTTAAAAATTATGTTTTATATCATATTAGAACTAAAGAGGATGAAAAATATATGTACAAATTAGCCAAAAAATAAAAAAAGAAAAGTAAATATTTAACTCAAGTAAAATGTATTAAAGATGAAAATCAAAAACTGTTTTCCTATTAAAAAGTACTTTTCTTAAAAAAAATATTCAACATAGGTGGGTGAGTTATTTTGATAATTTTTTTAATGAAGTTTCTGAAAATAGGATCGAATTTAGTGATCTTAATATCGTTAATAATAATAAATTGTTTTATTTTTACCGTCACATTAGTTAAAAAAAGTTAAGGATGCTTTAAAGAAAGCTAAGGGTGGAAAGTCTGTAGAACCTGATGATATCCCAATTGAAGTGTGAAAATATATAAGAGGCTTGGGAAATTCTTGGCTTACTAAACTTTTTAATATTATTTAAAAACTAAAAAGATGCCTGAAGAGTGAAGAAAGAGTATTTCGGTCCCCATTTTAAGAATAAAGAGGATGAACAAGAGTGTGCAAATTATAGAGGAATTAAGTTGATGTGTCACACTTTAAAATTATGGGAGAGGGTAATTGAACATAGGTTTAAACTTATTATAAAAATTTCTCATAATTAATTTGGATTTATGTCGGACGAGTATTAAGATTCCATGAGATATCCTTTGGAGAGTTCTTGGAAAGAAAGGTGACGATATGACTTATATTCAAGTCATAATAGATATGTAGACTAGAGATGTTACTTTTGTTTGAACAGAAGGAGGATTGACCAAAAATTTTCATATTTCTGTTGGCTTACATCAGGGATCGGCTTTAAGCTCATATCTTTTTTCTTTAGTTATGGATGCTCTTACTGGACATTTACAGGAGGATGTATCTTAGTATATGTTTTTTGTCGATGATATCCTTCTCCTGGATAAGGCGAGAGAAAAAACTCAGGAAAAACTTGAATTATGGAGGTCTACATATTATGGAGGTCTACATTGGATGGAGGTCTACATTGGAGTGTAAAGGCCTTCGTTTGAGTAGAACTAAAACTGAATACATGGAATGCAATTTTAGTAGTAGAGCTAATGACAATTGTAATTATGGGGACAAAATTAATAAAAGGTGTGAACGCTTTAGATATCTTGGGTCTATTGTTTAAAGTGATGGTGATATAGATGGGAATGTTATTAGTAGAATTCAAGTTGGTTGGTTGAAGTGGAGGATTGCTTCGGGCTTATTATGTGATGGAAAAGTACCGCTTAGACTGAAAGGAAAATTTTATAAGATAGTGGTGAGACCGACAATGCTTTATGGCGATGAATGTTGGCCTTTAAAAGAGAAGCATAAAACTAATTTAAGTGTTCCCGAGATGAGAATACTTAGGTGAATGAGTGGCTTCACACTTAGAGACAAAATGCGAAATGAATATATCCATGATAGGGTTGTTTTAGCTCCAGTGACGGACAAAATTAGAGAAAGTTGTCTAAGATGGTTTGGTCATATTAAACGTCAACTATCTGATGATCTGATCAGATCAGGAGAGTAGATGTTTTAGATTCGACTTATGTAAAGAAAGGCAGAGATAAACCTACAAAAATTTGGGCATATTGTATAAAAAATGATCTTAATTAATTAGAATAAATGAAAATATGACACTCAATAAGACGCAATAGAGAAAAGGGATTAGTCGGATAAAGGTTCGTTGTTGTTTTTGTTTTTATTGTGGTAAATAAATTGTAGAATTAACTTTTTAGGCTTGTGATTGCTCATCCACCAACTCTCCCATGACTTTGACGTCTTTCTTAATACATCATATTAATACATCATAGAACCATACAAAATTTGTAGCTTTGGTGGATCAAACTATTCAACACGATTAGATTACTCACAAAAGAACTTACACTTATAACTTTTTTTTAAAAGAGAAGCAAAAAACATACAAACTATAATCAATCAACTTCAATCTTATCAAAAGGCACTACAATAAATCTCATACTTAGAAAGAAACTCTTTAGCTTGATTTGAAACATTCCACGAAAAAATTGGGTGATTATAATTATTCCAAGGCAACTTGGTTAAATAAGTTATCTAACATCTGATTCAAACATTATAAAAAATTTTGAAAAAACATCATATTTTCATCTTTTCTTTCCCTCCACTTTCCCTACTCACATTAATCCCTCCTCTCCAACAAAATGCCCATATCAAGTGGAATTAAATTACATCAAAATCTTGTACTTAGAATAAAATCATTGGCTTATCCTGAAATATTCCAAGCAATAACAAGATTATAATCATTATGGGGCAACTTGGTTGAAAAATTTAACTAACATTTGAGTTAAATGGTATGAAAAAAACTAGTCAAATAAATGTTACAGTTTTCGAAAAATTTGTTTTAAATTACAGCATAGAGTTGGTCAATCCTTGAAGAAGTAGAACTTGAGGAGCCGTTCGATATACTATTTTAGTCAGGATTTTAGCAATGTTTAATTAAAATCCTGTTTTATACTCTTTATAAATTCTAAGCTTAAAAAAAATGTGGAATAATTTACTATAATATAAAAAGATCTAACATATACCATGCCAAAAAACATCAAAAATTTTAAACTCCTAGGATTTACTAAATCTTGTAAAATCAATATTTACAAATCCCTACTCGAATTAAATCATATTCCTTGCTAAACAGCCTCTACGGATCGCATGCAAATACTTCTCTGTATTCCTGAAATAAAAATACATCCCAACAATAAACAAGAAAATGAGGTTACAGAGAAGCAATAACCACTTATATGGAGTTGTATTTCTTGGGCTACCAACCCCAAAAGCATAAGGATGAGGTTACAAAGAAAATCTGATCTCAAATATGAATGAATAGGAATAAGAAAACTTCTCTTTAATATGAAGGAAAGGTTAAAAGAAGAGAGAGTATTTGCTACCTGCTGCAAATCGCGAAAGGCAAATAATCGCGTCGCCTGTATGTCGCAGCGAAAAGAAAAGCGAATCCACAAATTCAACATGCGAAATGCTGAACTGAGGCCACCGGGTAGCTGTGTATTTGCGCAATATCAAACTCAGTCCAAATCCGCAGGCGGAATGAGAATCCGAATCCAGGAGCTGCCTGAATCAGAATCAATAGCACCGAGCGGCCCGAGCCGGATGCACTCGATTCGCCGTTTCGGCGTTTCGCGCTGCAGCCATCTCTCTTGCCAAAAAATTAAAACGCGAAACGTGAAATCAAAATCAATTTTATATTTATATTTTATTAGTACGATCTTTTTTTTACCTAAATTTTATCCAACAATTGATTTTACAGGCGAAAACCAAACATTTTATTTTTTTAATGTAATATTCAAGCCACTAATGTAAAAATCAAATGAACCCAAACACGTTTAGTTTGGTTTAATTTTGTTGAAATAATGAGTTTTCCATGAATCACATTCAAATAACAGCAATTATGTAAGGAGAGAGAAAGAGAGTAGAGGAATAAGTGGGTGTGTGTTTATTTACAAAATGATATTCTTATAGATGATACAATATAATGTTAAATTCTTTCATGCTTCAAAGATGGTTGTACGATATATTTTTGTTTTTTTTACGTGCAAGAGCATATCGCCCAATTGTTTTCTCACTCGGTCGATTGAGCTTGATTAGCTTTGGGCGAGCAAGGCAGGTTGGGTTGGGCTAGGCTTGGTCGGCGTTACTTGTAGTTTGATTTAGTTTGGTTGGCGACCATTGATTTTTGGAGAGACTTCTAGTCATCCACGACATGATTGGAGATGTTCAAAGAATAGATCTTCACTCGAGTCAGGTTCTTTGTGGTGGTTGGCTCGGATATCTCTTTACCTCATTTTTGGACGAATAGTTTGGACTTAGATAATTTAGTCATATTTTATCCTTCAAGTGGCTCTGTAAGCTTTTGGCTTGGACAACTACACTTAGTCAAATAAGTGGGTCTCATATTCTTTTGTCGATGTGCCCTTCCTCGCCATACTCTTCTCCTTCATATCATTAAAGCTCCTCAGAATCAGCATTTTATGTGCATATTTTAGTTTCTTGATTCTCTTTCTTCTTCAAAATAACACTGCAATAAGAATAAGAAAATTTAATACAAAAAGTAAATCACATTTATTATTAATCAATTTTTTAATAATTGAACTTCCTTGATTTTCGAACCAATGATTCTTATGAATAAGACATGGTGGGACTCTTCACATTCCATATTTTCTCCGCATTCCTTTCTATTTTAATCAGTCGGTTTCTGAATGTTATAGTGGAGAATGTGTTGAATCCTCAGATCGATGTCCCCCTTGTTTTTTATTCTTTTTGAGAGACAGGAATCGTCAGCTTATCTATATATATGTTGTCATCATTGTTCACTGGTTCGAGGTTTCTTCTAGTGAACAATTCTTCTTCTCTAAGAGCCCTCTTCAATCTAAATTCTCCGGTCTCCAGTCAGTCACCGCTTTTTATGTCTTTCCTCTTTTCCTTTTAAGTTAGTGTTTTAATTTTTAAGTATTTAAGTTAAAAAAAATCTAGTTTAGGTTAACTCAATAGCCTCCTTGGATTAGGCTTGGTTTGGGTTCGATCCAGGTCGACCTGAACACAACTTAATTCTAATCTCTAAAACAACCTAACTTAAACCATGAAAACCCTAACATGGGTCTAACCCAACCCAGACCTAACCCAACCTTAACCCAACTCAGCTCAGGTCTAGCCCAACTTAACCCAAACCTTAAAACCTAACCCAAGTCTGACCCGACCCAGCTTAAGTCTAGCCTAACCTAACCCAAACCCTAAAACTTAACCCAGGACTAACCAAACTCAATCCTGACACAATCTAGACCTAACTCGTCTCTAGTCTAGCCCAACTTAACTAAAAACCTAAAACCTAATCCAGGTCTGACCCAACCCAAACCTGACCCAACCTAGACCCTACCCAGCTCAGATCTAGCCCAACCTAACCCAAACCCTAAAACCTAACCCAAGACTGACCCAACCCAGACCAGACCCAACATAGACTTAACCTAGCTCATGTATAACCCTACCTAACCCAAACCTACCCTCAGTCTGTCCCAACCAAGACCTGGCTTAACCTAACCTCAACCTTAAACCTAACCTAAGTCTAGCTCAACCCAGACCTAACCCAACATAGCACAAAGTCTAAAATCTAACCTAGGTCTCACCCAACTGACACACCTTAAATGTGTTATTTTTATATATATACATTTTATGCTCTACATTTTATGCTCATTTTTAAGTATGCTCATTTTTAAGGATATTGCGCTTCAATGGAAGATATTTGTGTGTTTTTTATTTCAGATACAAGAGATGAAGTTCAAGAGAAAAAGGAGCAAAGCGGAGCAAAATATGGTTAAATGGAGCAAAGGAGCAAAAAGTGATATGGCGCCTAGGTGTCAGGATCTGGCACCTAGGCGGCAAGTAGTTGGGCTTCTAAAAGGTTGACGCCTCAACTAACTGATTTTTCTGCAATGAATGTGTAGGAATTTAAAGAGGTGCTTGAAGTGACTCTTGGTGATTTTAAGAGCTTTATTCAAAGGCGCCAACCTTCTAGAAGCCCAACTAATTGATTTTTGTGCAATGAATGTGGAGGAAATTTGAAGAGGTGCTTGAAGTAACTCTTTGTGATTTTAAGAGTTTTATTCAAAGGAAGCATTGGTTGGTCGAAAAAGGGGGTTGCTTGAAAGAGAGTAAAGGGGTGGGTGTGTGTGCGTGGTGTAAGTGTGTGTGTGAGAAAGTGTGTTAGTGAGAGCCTTTCAAGTGTGCATTTTTGTGTGTTTATTGGAGTAAGAACTCATCAAAGGAACTTCAAAGGATTTGCTTAGGGAGAAGTTTCAGATAAGTACTTTGTATTTTTGTTTAAGTTTTGTTTTACTATGTAAACTTGGATTTTAATATATAAATCATGTCTTTTTTTGTGTTATCCCCATGAAGTCTGAGTAGTTTCCTTTATTTTTCTCCTTGCATTAAGAGAATACTTGTGTAGGATTAGAGTTTTTTAAGATTTCTCTTATTTAATACTTGTGATTATTCATTATTTCGTACTTAATTTACATCTTCAATCTAGCCAATTAGAATATTAAAATTTTTTGTAATTTCATAATGACCCAGGAGGGCTATGTGTTCCTCGATTAGTAAGAATCACATTAATCTAGTGGGTGAGAAGGTAGCCCATTGGTTAACGCAAATAGATAGAGAGATAAGTTTTGATAGGCGTAAATTTTTTATTCTAGGATGACAGGCTAGAAGCTTTAGCAATTTAACCAAGAGTTTGGAACTTAAGGCTAGGTTATTTCAGAATAATGGCGTAGTGGATAATCTGGAAGTGATAAGCTAGAACATAGCTAACATAACCTAGGATTTGGAACTTAACTCTAGGTTAGCCAATGTTCTTTATGCACTCGGAAGAGGATAAAGAATCGATTGCTCCTATTTGGCACAAAACTACATTTAAATTATTAGACATTTGATTCCTACACTGATTAAAATCACTTTTCAAGGGGAAAGAACTTTTACATATTTTGAACAATTCTACGTAAAACTAGTTAGGAAATACTATATTTTCTTTAAGCTTTGAAATAGAATTAGTAGGAACTCAGTAACTTATTTCTACATATAAACTTACTACCATATTTTCTAGAATTGCCTGAAGTTAAAGTAAAGTTTTACTAAGTCCATAAAAAGAGCTTCATCTTCTGTGTGGGATTGATACTCGTGTTTTAAAAGAAAATCATATATTACTTGAAGTGATATGTATACTTATGTGATACCCTAGTATATAAAATATTAGTCAGATTTTAATTTTTATAACATATCTATTGTGCACACTAGCCGCTAAAATATATTGGGTCAAGTTTTTGGTCATATTTTTTGAAACTAAATAACTGCATAATTGTGGGGTTTTTTTAAACTGTATACTTATTTTAGGAAAGTTGTAGTGTTGTTTAAATATATAAATGTTTATTTTTGTGCTAAAAATATTTTTTATAAAAAAAGAGAAAAAACCAAAAAGAAGAAAAAAATTTATGAATTTTATTTAATGTTATTTTATTTTATTTTAATTTCTAAACTTTTACTTTTGCATGTGTATTTCAAATCTAAAGGTTTAGTACTTTACGATTCTGAGTTAGAACGAACTATAAAAAAAAATCTGAAAACGCAAAAACTTAACAATTTTAAAGAAACGAAGAACACATTATATAATAATGTTAATAATTAAACTGTTGAAAATGAACATCATCAAAGACCTTTAAGGTACTATGCAAGCCCTACAACAGATGAAATTCATTTGAGCATACAAACCCCTGTTGTAGCGGCTAACTCATTTGAGCTAAAACTTGACATAATCCAAATCGAACAAAACAATCAGATTGGGGGAAATCCATTGAGGATCCAAACTTACATCTTGCTAGTTTTTCTAAAATTATATGTTACATATAAGTATGTCGATGTATTAAGCAATGTTGTTAGGCTTAGAATTTTTCCTTTTTCCTTAAAGGATAAAGCTAAGATGTGGTTAAACTCATTAGCACATGGATCTATCACAACTTTAGCAGATTTAGCACAGAAATTCCTAGTGAAGCATTTTCCACCTTAAAAAACTGTTAAGCATAGAAAAGATATTACCTCTTTTACTCAATATGAAGGTGAATCAATATATGAAGCTTGGGAACGATTTAAGGAACTCGTTAGAAAGTGTCCAGATCACGCTTTTTTGGACTGGTAAACATTTTATAATGGGTTAGTATGATCTCATAGATCTATTGTTGACACTCCTGTTGGAGGTTCATTAATGTAAAAAACCATTTGATGAAGCTTATGAATTAATAGAAGAGATTTCTACTAATAACTTTCAACAGGCCTTTGAAAGGGTAATTCCTAAGAAAATTGCCAGTGTTCATGATAATGATGCAATTTCTATTTTGGCATTGCTAGTTGCTACAATATCTAGGAAGTTAGATTAATTTAGAATGAATTTACCTCAAACACCACAAGTGACGAGGAAAATTCATTGAGACAATTGATTGATTCTCAACCTTCATATGAGACTTTAAATGTAATTAATAATAGACTAAATGTAATTAATAATAGACTTAATAGACTCAATAACCCATATTTTAACTATTATAACCCAAGTTAGAAAAAATGCCCTGTAATAATGATTCTGGTGGTGGAAATCAGCAATACGAGA